TCTTCCATTAAGCGCATAACATCATCCGTATGTGTCGTTTCCGAAATACAATGTTCTTAACAATGAGTTGCACATTTTATTGTGTAATTATTTCACAAAGAAACGGAAGAGAACAAAAAATGTTGTTGTTTTTTTCATAAAAATTAGCTGATTAAGATAAAAGTTTAATTTACGGATATTACTTTTTCATCCTTCCGGTTTGCGGGAAAAATGATTTGCAAATGAAAAACGAAAGGGGAAAGTAAGTACGTTTTGCAACATTAATATTGCAAAGTTTAAATGTCTACAGTCATTGTTATTAGTGTTTGAATGTAGAAAATGGTTGCTCTTATTGAGTGCTTGCATGCAATTGGAACAAAATATAGCCCACGTTAACGAATATTTTATACAAGACAAAATAGATGTTTGTACTCCATGTGCTTCGTACTAAAGCTAATCAAGAATTTAAGTTGCTGTTACCTATGACTTTTGTGCATGCATTTTGATACATATGTGGTTTTACATAACTGTTAGCGTTGTTTATCGGAGGAAAAAATGTTGAGCAATTAAATTATTTAATTTGCTATGATTAAATTGCTTTGAATTGCAAAATCAGTAGCAACAATCGGGAATTTTGAAAAGTGCTTCAATGTATTTGTTGGTACATGTAGATGTTAATCAGGGCTCTCGTTTGACTTGGGTATATGGGTTTTGACTCCTGAAAATCAGGAAATCAAACATTTGACACGTGATAAAATCTGCACAAGAGTCAATTTGCCTTCTGGGAATTTTCACTTACAATTATTACATTCAATCCACTCCTGGTTACCTATCATATCCTACATATGTTTAAATCACACTCAATAAAAAGTGTTGGTTGTTTTTTTGTTGTTTTTTTTTTTGGGGGGGGGGCTTGTATATTATAGAAGGAATATTGTTAGGAATTTTTTCTATGTTAAATATTATCAATTTAAACTTGAAAATCTACTCAAAATGACTTCCTCAATAGTAATTTTTCATTTACTTTTTTAAACATGAAAGACAAAAACACAAGAAAAAACTGATTTGACTCATGAAAATTTTGGCCAAAGAGTCTGACTCGTGAAATTCTGACCCTACTGAGAGCCCTGTGTGTTTGTTTTTTTATAACATTTTACAAGATTTAATTTCACAATTAAACCTGTGTTTAGAGCCACTCATGTGAACAGAAATAGGTTTTCATAGAAAGAGGTGTTCTAATATGTTAACCACAGATCCTTGGGGGACATGAAACGCTTCGAGTAAACACTCATATTTCAAAAATATTTTAATATAAACACAAATCTGTTACAACTATAAAACTGGTTTCCAAACAGTTTTTACAAATATGAAAAAAATACTGTTTACCATCATGTATTGAGACTTGATTCCGGGCAGGGCCATTTTTCGAAACAGTCTCCTCAACAACTACTTACCACAGCCTCATGATATTTAGTATACAGTATAAACACATGGTCCCATACCATGGGATTCAACTTCAGGTCTGTCGCTCATCCCCTTTCTGTTTACCGACTTAGTTAAATTCATAATAATGGTCAATGGTAGGAATTTGTTTTCTCAGCAACTACTTATCACAGCCTCTTGATATTTGGTATACAGCAATGAGCATTAACATGTGGTCACATACCATGGGATTGGATTTCAGGTATGTTGTTAATCCACTTCCTGTTTGTTGACTTAGTTAAATTCTCGACATGAATTGTAAATGGAAGAAAATTTCCGTAACCGTAAAAAACTGTCAGTTATTTCTCAGCAACTACATGTCACAGCCTCTTGATATTTGGTATTATGACAGCATTAAAATGTGATCCCGAGTTCAGGTCTATCGCTCATCCACTTCCTGTTTACTGACTTAGTTAAATGTTCGCCATTTATTATTTATTACCCATTATTATTGAAGTACATGCATTATCCAAATTTGTACTTTGTCTGCATTGTTAAAATTTCATGATGTAAAAGCGCTACAGGGAAGTGTATTTTTTAGCAACCATTACATTAAAAAATAGAGGTATTTCTTGTTGCTGTTGGCAACATTTGACACTAACCTTTAAATGACATTGAAGAATTTTATAAACCTGGTGCTTGTTTTTAAAAGAAAAATACTTTTAACACTGTTTAAGAGCTCTTACTTAAGGTGAGCGATATAGGGCCATCATGACCCTCTTGTACTGTAAATAGTTTTTATTTCTGATATGTAATAAATAGAATATTATATTCGTGTAGCTTATTTAGTTAAATTATTGAATTTGAGAGGCTCACTTGACATAATTTTATTCAACCAGTATTAAACCTCCGTCATTCAATATCATCTAGATATTGTAAGTGATGGTGCGACCGTGGCCGAGTGGTTAAGGTCGTTGACTTCAAACCACTTGCCCCTCACCGCACTTGGTTCTAATCCCGACAAGGACTTTGGATTCTTTCATGTGAGGAAGCTATCCAGCTCGCTTACAACGTCGGTGGTTCTACTCGTGCCTGTAATAATGCACGGAAGGGCACCTGAGGTCTTCCTCCACCAGTAAAGCTAACGTCGCGATATGACCTATACTGTGTCGATGTGACGTAAAACACAATGAAACAAACAAATATATTGTAAGAGAAGATATCCGTCCATAAATACATGTGCTATGAAAACCAGAGAGTGTAAAGTGTGAAGGATTTTGTTTTTTTCGGGGACGGAGGGGTGGGAGTGGGGGTAGGAGAGGAGGGAGGTACTAAGTATAAATAAATCAACAAGTCAGAAAATTATTATTTGAATGTATAACTATATCAAGTATACAATTCATAATAATAACCATGCATGTAGTTAGGTTGGGTCAACATCAAACATCACTAGAGTAATGCATATGCCAGTTACAACAGCAATCTCACCTTAAATAATATGTATCGAGGTATAACCATGGCATGAGGTATGGGTAGATGTCTCCAGATTTTTTTAATTGATTGTCCCTGGATGCAAACATGAAGATATAACTCCTATTGAAATGTGAAGAACATAAAGTTATTTAACCAGTTATTAAAACCTACTATTAAAAGATTTGGTCATATGAAATTTTGAAAATTTAACTTAAGATCAACATGGCAGAAAAATGTTCTATAATATGCAGCAACAAAAAGGCGTAGACAATCATCCTAAAAGCCCAAAGGGGAGAAGATTAAATCTGATACTTTCATTTCAACCTGAATTAAATTAATTTAGAGTTTTTTTACAACCTATGCTCTCCTTATAGGGACTCCTCTGAGGTTTTTGTTTGCATGACAGGACTAGAAATAAGTTTCCGAGATACAAAAGGACGTAGGTCTGTGCACAAGTTTTCAGACCAAGTCATCCCATTTTTCCAGACTATTCATTTATATTGTGCAAAACGACCAAAATGGAAAAGCCTTGCAATGCTTTTAACTAAAATCACTTTTTAATTTCATTCAGGGTATATCTTTTTATAAGTCTTTGCAGAGTTTTCTATTTCATGTTCTTCGTTGCACTACTGGTATATAAAAAATACAAATTTTATGTTTTTCAAGCTTTTCTGACCTTTAATTTATGTAATTCATGCAAATGGATTTCAAGATCAAAATGTTAAAAAAACATTAAAGTAACAGTACTGTATAGATTATAACCAGACAGCACTAAAGTATTGGATGGCATTGCTCTGTACGTATTGGCAAGTCGTTTATCTTTATGAGTATTGTGAGAGTTAAAATCCCATTACAACAAAGTAAATAATTAACCAGCTAAATAATTGCTACGGAGCAAATTTGAAATTATCAAGGATGCTGAATTATGACATGCGTTAACATTTTTATAGGGTTTTTTTTTTCAAAAAATTCTTCACTTTATGGTTATAGAAATATTATTGCACATTATCATACAATTTTGTGCTAAATAAATAAGGAACATTACAAACAAGTACAGTGGACAAAGAATCATATAGTAGAACTTAAATAACAATTATGGTCAAATGTGTATATTTAACCCTGGGAAAACACTTCTCTACTCCAACATATCTTAGAAATTCAAAGACGCCCAAGATATTAGTGATAAAATCACATACCTTAAGCTTTCGTCAGAGATTAAAAATTTTACTTAGAAATGATGATAGTAATGTTTTTAACGGTATATGACGAAACATGAAATTCACTGCAATTGGTTCATGTCACCATGGTCTTTCAGACCCTGATGTTACCAAAGTCCATTTATCTGGAAGTTGGGATTTGTGGGTGGGGCTTCAGGGTGTGTCATAAAATTGGGGGCGAGAGAGAGTATATCATCCACGACAAAACAAACATATGTTAGCTTATCTAGCACGAAAAAAACTGAAAGTATGCATGTATGCAGGTTAAGGTTTTAAACCAGAAATGAAATAAATTAAGCTAAAATGCCATTCATATTTCAACAATTATGTCGTAACTGTCCTTCATGTGGTCATGATTCTTTGACTGTATAAAATAATCAGACTGTAAATTTATATGATTATTTCGGCATTTTGTTTACATGATTCACTGCAGTTTATGTAGTAAACAGATTCTGAAAGTATATTTTGTTTTCAAAATATATATTTTTATAAACTAAATGCATTTATGTATTGCTTCTATTAGTGAGTTTAAATAAAAGTATATCTCTTGATTCTTCAAGTTAAAGATAAAAACCTACAGATTGTTCATTACTGTTTGTTTATAAAGAACAGAAACTGTAAAGGAAAATAATCTATTCTAAATAAGCTATTTCATGTTAAATTATCATTATGTATTCAAAAATTTCTATAATACATGTGCAACCCTTTATAGTTTTAATACTAAATAGAATGTGATTTTCTGTCCACTAATGATCCATAGCAAATAAATTTAATAATGGAATTATCATAATACTTTCACACTGATTATTTTATTAGTTGGGTTTAATCACTTCAGGAACAAAGCTTTTATATTTCTTGACTAGCCAAGCAAAGGAGTAGTGGCAAAGGAATACTTCATTAAAATCTCACCTTATAAAAGAATTCGAGGAAAAAGCCAATCAATTTCAAGAACGGCAGCTTAAATTGCCTCAAAAGTTCTGTCTTCCGAACAGCTCCGGGATCTAACGTAGATGTGTATATCCCTGAATAACAACATGCAATTTAACTTATAAATGAAAGAGTTATGCCCCTTTTTAACAAAATTTTAGATGCCAAATTATCACCGCGGGTAAGCAACTTTTGACCACAAGTCAACGTACACGGCCAAAATAAGCTCGGCTGAGGTAAGTGTTTTAGTGATTATTTTTCTATCGAGCCAATTCAAATTATGCTACATAGCCTACCGACCGCGGCAGTTCCGATGCTTTCTAAAAATGTATTTGGTGTCGTCCAACGTTTTGTATTTTATGAGATCATTCAAGCAATTTTTACAACTTGTCGATGATAATGAACACACTATTGTGTAAAAGTGTTGATAATAACTTAATAAACGATACGCGTGTCAGTGCTAAGTGAAATTTCACGTTTTAAAATGTATAAAATAAGAGAATGTTTTAATGAAAAAAGAACTGGTTTACTGCTGTCATTTTTAGCTCGACTTTTGTTTAAAAAAAGGAAGAGGTATTGTTTATGTTATAGTCCTGGCGTAGTTGCCGTTACCGTTGCCGATGCCGTCCGTAAACTTGTACCTGAATCATAACTTTTTTAGTTCTTGGTGTATTGTCTTCATACTTGGCCACAACAACCCGTGGGACAACCCCTTTCAGTAGAACACACTAACCTTGACATTTATCCATAAATGACCTTGACCTTCAAGGTCAAAAGTCCAAATTTTGCTTGTTCATGCTATTATTGGTTGTAACTTTGTTATTTTTAGCTCGACTATACGAATTATGTGGAGAGGTGTCCTACTCGCCCGTCGGCGTCCGCGTCCAGATTTCAGATTAAAGATTTGGTGCAGTAAAATATTTTTCACTATAACTTTGTCATTTCTTGAGGTATCAACTTCAAACTTCATATATATGTTTCTTATCATCAACCACATCTTATGTGACAAGGTTCATAACTCTTGCACCAATATTTTCAGATTTATCTCCCCTTGAATTTAGAATTTTCCTGAAAAAATACTATTTTTTACCGTTACTTCTTTATTTCTTAAGGGATCAATTTCATACTTCAAATATATGTACATTATCATCACCCACATCTTATGTGACAAGGTTCATAACTCTAGCACCAATATTTTCAGATTAATCTCCCCTTGAAGTTAGAATTTTCCTGAAAAAATAATATTTTTTACTGTTACTTCTTTATTTCTTAAGGGATCGCCTTCATACTTCAAATATATGTACCTTATCATCATCCACATCTTATGTGACAAGGTTCATAACTCTAGCACCAATATTTTCAGATTTATCTCCCCTTGAAGTTAGAATTTTCCTTAAAAAACGTATTTTATTACAGTTACTTCTTTATTTCTTAAGGGATCAATGTTATACTTCAAATATATGTACCTTATCATCATCCACATCTTATGTGATAAGGGGTTTGCCTAAAATACGAAAGTGAGATTTTTGACGAAAGTGAGCGAAAGTGAGCGAAAGTGACTTTTAGAATTTGAATTGTACTGTTTTAATAGAATTTTACAGTAAAATTGCTGTTTGCATACGTATATTATTAGCATCATGATTTAATAGCCATTTATTGGCATAATTTCTATATACAAGTTCAGCACTCTTCCTTTCACTTGCATATAAAAATACGAAAGTGACTTGTAAAGTATTAAATATAGAGTTTTAATTGAAAATGTACTATATCTGCAGTTTGTAAACGTGTATTATAAGAAATTACTATTATTTATTTTCTAAATTAATCATTATGATGATTTAAAGTTTTATAACCCATTTTTTTGCATAATTTCTATAAATATACATCAGCGATCTTCCTTTCGCTTAAACTGAAACATACGAAAGTGACTTGTAAAAAATCAAATATAGAGTTTGAATTGAAAAAATGTACTTAAATTGCAGTTTGTAAACATATAACATCAGAAATAAATAATGTGAAATTCAACACTATATTTCAATTAAACACTATATTTTAGAAGTCACTTTCGTATTTTCTATGTGAGCGAAAGGAAGATTGCTGAACTTGTATATAGAAATTATGTCAAATAAATGGTGATTAAAGATCATAATGATTATTTTTTAAAATAAAAATTATAGATTTCTGATAATATACGTCTGCAAACTGCAATTTTAGTATAAATTTCAATTCCATATTTAATAATTTACAAGTCACTTTCGTATTTTTCAAAGTGAGCGAAAGGAAGATCTCAGAACTTGTGTATAGAAATTATGCAAATAAATGGCATTTAAATCATCATAGACTATATTAGTGATTATTTTTGAAAAGAAATATTATTAGTTGCTAATAATATACGACCACAAACAGAAAATTCACTGTGAAATTCTATTAAAACGGTACAATTCAAATTTTAAAAGTCACTTTCGCTCACTTTCGCTCACTTACGTCAAAAATCTCACTTTCGTATTTTAGGCATACCGTGTGATAAGGACTCTAGCACCAACATTGCAAGAATTATCTCCCCATAAACTTAGATTTTTTTACTAGAAAAATGTTATTTTTTACTATAACTTATTTAGTTTTAAAGGTATCTATCTCAAACTTCAAAAACTTATTCCTTATCATCAATTACATTTTATATGACAATGTTTATAACTTTTGAATCAATATTTACAGATTTATCTCTCTTTGAACTATGGATTTTCTTTATGAAATATTATAACTTCTTTACTTTTTAAGGTATCTACTTTCAACTTCAAATATATATTTCTTATCATTACACACATGTTGTGTGACAAGGTTCATAACTCTGGCGTGACTTTTTCTAGAATTATTCCCCTTGATCTTTAAATTTATGTTAACAATGTTATTTTTTTACTATAACTTTAAACATAAGTATACATAATTGATTTTTCTTTCATATTTTTGTCTTCCTTACTGCGTCCAGTATTTTATTAGTCGAGCTTCGCTGTCTCCTGTGACAGCTCTTGTTGAATGGATTGTCTTCAAACTTGAACATAATCTTCAAGGATATCCCTTAAAAATAACCAGACAGACCTTGATCTTCACTCATAACTGACCTTGACCATTCCATTCTCTTAATGAAGCTTCAAGCGTCTGGTCTTGGTGATGACATCATAAGGTGGTTTAGGTCATATCTTTCTGAGAGACAACAGCTTGTTGATGTGTCAGGTAGTTTTTCTTCTACTTAAAGTATAACATGTGGTGTTCCCCAGGGTTCAATCATTGGGCCCCTCCTCTTTTTAATTTACGTCAATGACATGTCAGCAGTTTGTGAAAAATAGACTATTGCTATATGCTGATGACTATGGAATACTCGTTTCTGGAAAAAGTTTATCTCAGGTGGAAATTTCTGTATCTGAAGATTTGTCTGTCCGAGTCTAGTTGTGCATATTATCAGCATTTTCCGGGTTTTTTTTGTAAGTCAATGGTTAATTGATAATAAGTTATCGTTGCACTTGGCTTAAACTGAGTCCATTGTGTTTGGTTCTAAACAAAACCTCAGGTCACATTCCAAATTAAACATAAATTGTAACGGCACTGTAATAGAAGCGTCCACATCCATCATATATCTTGGGTAACAATTGATCAGAACCTGTCCTTTGGTTACATGACAGACTCAGTTATTCAGAAGGCTAACGCCAGGTTAAAGTTCCTTTACCGTAAGAAAGATTTCCTTACACAGCATACCAAAAACTGCTTGTCAATTCCTAATTCAGTGCCACTTTGACTATGCCTGCTGTGTCGGGTATAATGGCTTAACTTAGGTCTTGAAAAATAAATTACAGACAACACAAAATAAAATGATGAGATTTGTTCTAAACCTTGATTCCAGAGCACATATTGGCCCTTCCTATTTTAAATCCCTTAATTGGTTACCAGTTTATAAAATAGTTGAACAAATTATGTTATGTCATGTTTTTAAGGTTAAAAACCAAATGGCCCCAGAGTACTTAAGTGACTGTTTTTTGTTTCTCAGGAATCTATGCATTCTTATTGCACCAGACTGAGTAAAAAGGAGGGTATTGTCTTCCTAAGGTTAAAGGTTCTGGGTCAAAATCTTTTAGTTTTATTGGTGCTAAACTATGGAACAGTCTTCCAACTTCAATAATAGCAAAGGTACAGCACGTTACAGCCAAAAATATGAAAATTTCAATAATTTGACCTTCAAAGTCAAGGTCATTTATGAGTAAAGGTCAAGGTCTGTCTGGGTATTTTTAAGGGTTATCCTTGAAGATTATTATGTTTCAAGTTTGAAGACAATCCATTCAAAAATAACAAAGGTACAGCCAATTATAGCCAAAAAATGAAAAAAATCATTTTCTTGACCTTCAAAGTCAATGTCATATTTATGAGTGATGGTCAAGGTCTGTCTGGTTATTTGAAAGGGCTATCCTTGAAGATTATTATGTTTAAGTTTGAAGACAATCCATTCAAAAATAACAAAGTTACAGCCCATAATAGCCAAACACGAGCGATCAGTGATCACATGTGTCGCCTCATGATGGCCAATTTCATGTTGGGACAAGTTTTGTGACAGACGGACAGACAGACGGACAGTGCACAACTAGACTTGGTACTGATCATTCCTGTAAAGTTTGGATAAAATTGCACCAGTAGTTTATGAGAAGTAGTCCGGACAAGCTTTTGTGTATCTGGCAACACACAGAAAAAAAACACCTTTTTATCAAAGGGCCATAACTCGGCCAAAAATCATTCAACCGGAAAACCCGTGCAATATGCGCAAGGACTTGAGCTACAGATCAATTCTGTAAAGTTTCATTGAAATTGCATTAGTGGTATAAGAGAAGTAGTTCGGACAAACTTTAAAAATAAAAATTATGAAAGGGCCATAACTCTGACAAAAATCATTGAACCAAAAAAATGCTGACAATATCCACAATTAGACTTGGTACTGATCATTCCTGTAAAGTTTGAATAAATTGCACCAGTAGTTTATGAGGAGTAGTCCGGACAAGCTTTTGTGTATCTTGCCACACACAGAAAAAAACACTTTTTATCAAAGGCCATAACTCGGCCAAAATAATTCAACCGTAAAACCCGTGCAATATGCGCAAGGACTTGAGCTACAGATCAATCCTGTAAAGTTTCATTGAAATTGCATTAGTGGTATAAGAGATCTAAGTAGTCCGGACAAACTTTAAAAATAAAAATTATGAAAGGGCCATAACTCTGGCAAAAATCATTGAACCGAAAAATGCTGACAATATCCACAATTAAACTTGGTACTGATCATTCCTGTAAAGTTTGAATAAAATTGCACCAGTAGTTTTATGAGGAGTAGTCCGGACAAGCTTTTGTGTATCTGGCAACACAGAAAAAAAAAAACCTTTTTATCAAGGGCCATAACTCGGCCAAAATCATTCAACCGGAAAAGCCGTGCAATATGCGCAAGGACTTGAGCTACAGATCACTCCTGTAAAGCTTCATTGAAATTGCATAAGTAGTATTAGGGAAGTAGTCCGGACAAACTTAAAAAATAAAAATTATTTAAGGGCCATTACTCTGACAAAAAATCATTGAACCGGAAAATGCTGACAATATGCACAACTAGACTTAGAACTGATCATTCCTGTAAAGTTTGGATGAATTTGCACCAGTAGTTTATGAGGAGTAGTCCGGACAAGCTTTTGTGTATCTGACAACACACCGAAAAAAAAAAACCTTTTTATCAAAGGGCCATAACTCGGCCAAAAATCATTCAACCGTAAAACCCGCGCAATATGCGCAAGGACTTGAGCTACAGATCAATCCTGTAAAGTTTCATTGAAATTGCATAAGTGGTATAAAAGAGTAGTCCGGACAAACTTTAAAAATTAAAATTATTAAAGGCCATAACTCTGACAAAAAATCATTAAACCGGAAAATGCTGATAATATGCACAACTAGACTCGGACAGACAGACGACGGAGAAGTGATCCCTATATGTCGCCCTTCGCCGTAGAGGCGACACAAAAATGACAATTTCAATAATTTGACCTTCAAAGTCAAGGTCATTTATGAGTAAAGGTCAAAGTCTGTCTGGTTATTTTCAAGAGTTATCCTTGAAGATTATTATGTTCAAGTTTGAAGACAATCCATTCAAAAACAAGAAAAGCATTGATGCAAAGCATCAAAGGCAACACCAAAAAAAATTGATCAAGTTTTGCAACTAAATACTTAACAAAAGATGTGTACTTTATAGCAATACCATTACATGTGACCTGGAGGCTAGGCCCAGTTTGAGTTGAAACTTAAACCAAAAAGAATAGACTTTGTCTTGCCAAGAATGCAAGACAATTTATAGTCAATTAACCAATCTTATAAGACTCATGTTATAAGAGAGAATTTCTACAGATTTATTTTACCAGATACAAGGATACCTGAGTCATCAGCATATAATAAAAGCTTATTGCTTAGGGTTGCAGACATGTCATTGACATATATTAGCCATAAAAGAGGACCTAAAATGAACCTCAGGGGGACACCATAGGTACTTGAAGTAGTAGTAGAATGAGTACCAGCCACATTCACCAGCTACTGTCTATCAGGGGATAAGTCTTAAACCATGTAAGAATGTCATTACTTATGCAGATGCTTGATTCATGAAGAAGAAGAACTTCTTCTTCTGATGTGCAGTAAATTGTGATCAACTGTATCAAATACCTTTTGAAGATCTAAAAGTATCATGCAATTTGCTTTTGTCTATTTCAAATTTAATACAATCTGTTAAATGAATCAAACATGTGTCAATTGA